GTGGAATAAGTGCTTCCTTGGCAAGCGCAGGGGTCTGAGTTCAATCCCCGGATCCGTAAAAAAAAAAAAAAAAAGAAAAGAAAAGAAAAGAAATCTGGGCTTATTTGCCATAGTGATGCTTTGCTTCAGTCTCCTTCAGACAAAAGGATACTCAATTCTTCTTGGCCCTCCCTCCCTAAGCGCTGTCTCTCTTTTCCTTCCCCTTTTTCCCCTTTCCTCCCTACTGCTCCTCTCCTCTCCCTTCCTCTCCCCTCCCACTTTCCTTCCTTTCTCTCCCCTCCCTTCTCCTCCCCTCCTCTTCCTCCTCCCATCCCTCTCTTTTCCTCTTCCTCTTCCTCTTCCTCTTCCTCCTCCTCCTCCTCCTCCTCCTCCTCTTCTTCTTCTTCTTCTTCCTCTCTCTCTCTCTCTCTCTCTCTCTCTCTCTCTCTCTCTCTCTCTCTCTCAGCAGTGGTAGTAGGAATTGAACCCAGCACTTTTACACTGAGTTACATCCTAAGCTTCTTTTTATTTCTTATTTTTAGCAGAACTGGGGATTGAACTCAGGCCCTTGTGCTTGCCAGGCAAGCATTTATTCTACTGAGCCATTTCCCCGACTCCACCGGGCTTCTTTTTAAAGGTTTTATTTTGAGGAAGGGTCTTGCTAACTTGCCTAGGCTGGACTTGCGTTTGTGATTCTGCAGCCTCAGCCTCCCAGAGTGTAAGGATTATAGGCATGTATTGGTATGCGCCACCACGGCTGGTACAGTGTCAATTTTATGCATTAAAATACATTTAAAACTCAAATACTGTGGCCAGCTACTCATTTTCCAAGTGAGGGTATCAGAGAAAGAGGAAATAACTACCATATGCCATCACCTTCAAGAATGACATTTAACACTCCTTCCTCCCAGAAGATACTCCTTTAAGTAGAAAAAATAGTATGACAAAACCCCCAGGAAATTGAATTTATTTTCTGTATGTTATGGCAAAACTGTAAAAATCGCCAAACTCCTTATCTTCCGCCATTGGCGCTGTCCTTATGGGTCAGCTGGGGGTGACTCTTTGCAGGAGGGGAGAGAGAAGCAAGGAGTTTGCACTGCAGTCCACAGTGCGTCTGCTCAGCCTGGAAGGAAGTGTGCGATCGCTCTGGTGGCAACAGCGGGACCCTTGTGTCCTGCTGAGACATGGGTAATGGTGGAGAGAGCCAGTTCAGAACTTCTGAAACCCTGAGCTTGGAGGAGTGGCCCCTCCAGTGGCCCCTCCTGCAGCCAGCTGAACCTGCTGGCTTACCTTCCAGGTGGCGCTTCTCCGGTGCGCCTCCCACTGGTGGAGCAGAAGAGCCCTTGCTTTGCACCATGTGGTAGACACCTACGAAATGCTCTTTCTGTAGCCTTCCCTGGAGCTGTTCATGGGCTCAGGGCCTGGGGCAAGGTCGAGCTCATCCCTGCGCCCCTGCCCCCCATGACCCCTAGGGAGGTGCTCATCAGGGTTAGCAGAAGAATTAGCAAGTGAGATGGGACAAGGCCTGTGTGGGGCAAAGCAAGGCACAGGACACAGCTGGCAGGGACGGGAGCCTGAGAATGCCAGGGAATGAAGGAGAGCTCTTTTGCCAAAGCCAAGGATGGGTGTGCTTGGAGCTCCGGAGGGAGGGTGGAAGCTAGCCTGTTTTGTCCTGCAGGGTGGCCCTCCCCTCACTCGTGCTGGTGGAGACACGAGTCCCTCAGGCTTTCCTGCTAAACGACACCAAGGCCAAGACTGTCCTGGGCACATCTGCCATCTGCAGCACTCGGGAGCCCTGTTCTGATGGCTGGGTGGGCCCCAGGGGCTGTGTCTCTGGTGGAGTGGTGATGACAAGGTGGGCAGGTAGAGGGTAAGTCTGCTCGGGAATGTGAATGGTGGCCAGGCAGAAGGTCCTAATTCTGCCTGGTGCATTAGGGGAAGCGCTCTGATTACAACGATCTGCTACCTGGGGGCCCGGGGAAGATGCCCTGGCCTGGCCATCTAGCTTTGGACCCCTACGCTAAGGCTGCCTCTTGCTCTGAGGGTCAGGTGGGCTGGTGCTCAAGTGTGCCTGGTGGGCACAGCGTCTAGCCACCCATTCTGTACCCTGGTCCGCATTGCCCCCTCCGCAAGGACCTGCCTGACTTTCTCTGCTCTTGGCCAGCCTTGGTTGGAGGCTCTGGTGGATATAGCCTCATCCTGTGGATGGTGTGTCCCACCTTCTAGGGGCTAGAGACACTGTCACAGGCCTCAGCTGGAGAATGTACTAACAATGCTCACTGAATTAGTGAATGAACTGGTTCCCTCAAGTCTGGCATTTACTGTGTGGGCTTTGCAAGGCGAGAGGTTTTGGGGTTCATGGAGCACTGGGGTTTCCATTACCAGGCCTGCGTGAGATGTGTGGCTTCCCAGTGCAGGGCTCCCAAGGCACACCTGGTGGCTAACCTGAAGCCAGCAGATCTCTGTTGCTTCATCATCAGCTCCAGGATGAGGCTCAGAGATGGTGGCCAGGAAGAGCCATTCCAGTTCTGCTGGGTGTCAGTGATGCTGCAGACGGCCTGTTGACTGGGACTGTTAGTCAGACAGGCCTGAATTGAAATCCTAGCCCCACCGCCTGTCAGCGGGGTGACCTGAGCCAAGTCTCTTCACCTTGCTGAGCTTCCAGAGGTCTTATCTATAAAGCATGAAGGATAGTCACACTTGCTGTGTAGGGCTGTTTGAGGGTTACGCGTGGTTGTGTGTGTGAGGCACCGCGCCTTGTGTCTTGTCAGCGAGCATAGGACAGGAGTGTTCACGCGATCGTGTCAGTGTTAGACGTGTGCTGGGAGCTAACGGTGCCACAACGTACGGACAAGCACTGCTGTCTAAGGCCGTGCCATACAGAAGTTGGGACGCTGAGATATGCACAGAAAGCCCATCACGCTGACGGTGGCACCCTGTGATGCTAGTGGGCGCTGCGAGAGCTTCTCCTTGTTATGGTTTGTGTCTGGTTGTCCCCCAGAGCCTCATGCAGTCATTGGGGTGCAGTTCTAGAGTTTGTGATTGAGTCATGGTCCAAGGCTGGGATTATGGTGTGCGTGCTACAGCCACCCTGGGGCAGCCAGCCTGCAGCAGCATGAGGAGGAGGGAGGCTTGCCTCTGCCACTGTGCCTCGCTTTTGCCTTTGCTCCTTGCTGTTTTCCGCTGCCATGAACACCTGCCCTCTGCCCTGTGCCACGCTGCCTTGAAGCCAGCCAAGCATAGACAGAAACCTCCACAAACTCTGAGCTAAATAAACCTTTCCTTCCTCGATTTTGGGTGTTGGGTATTTTGTCCCAGCAACAAGAGGAGAGTAAGCGAGACATCCCGTTCACAGAGAGAACAGCTGAGGAAGGTGCTCAGGTACCACTTAGGTAAATGGGCAGGAGGGAGGAAATGTCCCAGCAAGGGGACACAGCATATGCGAAGGCAGAAAGAAGAAGGAGCACAGGCCACATTGGGCAGAAGGCCAGTTCAGCCAGCACAGGCTGACGGAGAAAGCTGTCAGGGGTTAGGTGCAGGAGCGTCTCCAGGCTGGCATTCCTCCAGTGCTAGGCTGTGGGCCTGTCTCCCGCAGGTGACCAGGGAGCCTCTGAGAGGGAAGTGATATGGGCCAGGTGGAATTTTGGGATGATTTGTCCATAACAGCCTATGGTCTGAATTCTAGTGTTCCTCCCAGAAAGGAGAGTTCAGCCAACAAAAACCCAGACGAAACCGAGTCTGGGTAAGGGTGCCTGGTATTTTCACAAATAAACTTCTAATAGCTGCAGCAACAAGGTGGCCCTTTTGCCCCCACTTTCTTGGTGCCCTTGAACGACCTTGCCTCAGGGCCTTGTGCCTGCCCAACTTCTGCCCAGAGTCTTTGGATATCTGCATCCACCCCACTTGCTCCTCTCTCATTTTCCTCTTCAGAGGGGCCCTGACCACCCCAGTGGGTGGACCCGGAACTCCGTGGCACCTGGCTGAGTGTCGCAATAGCCCTGGGGACTACACAGCACTGTTTGCTTGCTTCCTGTTGGGCTTCCTTGAGGACAGCAAGCCCCATGTGGGTAGACATTGGCCTCACTGCCTGGAACTCAGGAGGGTTCAGCAGCTATTTATTGAGTAGATGAGTAGAGGATGGGGGAGAGGGTAGGCTGGGGGTCCCGATGGGACCCAGGCCCGGGAGCCCCGGGAGAGGACTGGCAGGACTCTGCCTCCAGTGGGTGCCTCGCCTGTGGCTCTCCCTCAGCCCGGCCTCCGGGTGTGATCGGTTCTCTTCAAGGTGGTGAAGGGCAGTGAAGAGGCGTTGTGGCTGGAGTCTGGTGACCCCTGGCTTGGAGGAAGGGCTCCGGTTTCAGCCTGTTTGGTCCTAAGTGCCAGAAGGCAGAATCCTCGAAGGCAGGAGCTCTACCCTATGGGGTGGGTAGGGACTGAGAGAAGATAAGGAGAGGCTGTCATGCTGAGGGTACTTTAGGAGGCCCCACCGCTTCTGCCTCACGCTCATGACTCAAGAGGAAGCTGAGGCCGAGATCAGGCCACACGGGTCACGAGTGACAGGAAAACCCGACACTTCAACACTCAGTCAGTCAGTCACTCACGCATTCATTCAGTACTACTGAGAACCTGGTCTCTGACAGTCTGCTTTCTAAATTCTGGAGCTATAACTTAAATGTCTTTCATGGGGTTGGCAGCACCTAGGAGCGGACATTTCAGTATAAATGTGAGGGCCGGCTGTTCCCTTCTATTAGGTGTTCTGCCAACAGTGCTGCAAGAGCCCATAACTCTGGTTATTCCATCTTTAGTTGTCCAAAGTCAAAGCCAGTCATATCCCTGAGGCTGTGGGTGTAGGGGGAGAGAAATGGATCCAGGGAGTCTTCTGAGGCCTGGAGTTTGGCTTCCTGCTTGGTGAAGGGCACTGTGTCCTCTCTCTGGGACAGGGAGCCCCTCTGAGGGGAGGGTGTCGCCAGCCCATGGCCTTAGGGTGCCCAATCCAGCTGACACCCCTCTCCTCATCTCTGTAGCCGTGTGCCAGCCACCCTGCCAGAACCGAGGCTCCTGCAGCCGGCCCCAGCTCTGCGTCTGTCGCTCTGGCTTCCGAGGGGCTCGCTGTGAGGAGGTCATTCCTGAGGAGGAATTTGACCCCCAGAACTCCAGGCTGGCCCCCCGACGCTCAGCTGCGAGGGCACCCGGCCTCCGCAGGAGCAGCACAGCCAGAGAAGTCCCTGTTGCCAGAACACGGCTGCCGGAGCCAGAGCTATCGCCAGCCAGGTAAGGCCCTTCCTCAGTGGGAGCGCAGGGCTCCATCTCTGTGGAGGCAGCCCCTCAGGGCTGGGAAAATGGGCATCTGTGCTTCCTTCCCTCCTCCCCTCCCCTCCACCTTCAGGGCCAGGGACAGGGAGCAGGGGTTGGGCTTGGCAGGGCCTTTGCCAGGCTGGATGGGGCGGGTGTGGGGTGAAGCCTTTCCCTTCTGGTGGCCCAGAAGAGTCGATGGAGACATGTCCCTGCCTCAGGGCTCTGGCTTTGCCACTTCCTAGGAGGGTGACATTGCCTTTCTGGGTGTCTGGGTGCTAATCAGTCAGGAGGGGACAATGCTGCTGCCTATACCAGGGAATCGTGAGGATTAAATTAGTTGATATAAGCACAGTGCTTAGAGCAGAGCTTTGTACCAAGATAAACTCTTTGTAAATGTTCTTACCCTTCCACCTCCTACAAATATGAGGGAGGGCAGGGGGTTGAAAGGGCTCCTCCACAGAGCCACTCCATCGCTCAGCCCCTCTCCTCAGAGGGGAGAGGAGGCCTGTGGGGGAAGGGCGTCGAATAAAAGTGGACAAGGGAGCCTTCACGAACAGGAGGCCCTGGCCTGCCTGCTGGCCCAGCTGGCTAGACTTTTTCTAGTTCAGGACAGGAAATCTGAACTTTGTAAACCAGCCCATTTCTAGGGAGTTTTGTTTTGCCTTGGGGTTTTCACGTTGGTTTTTCCATTTGCTTCTACTTAGGAAGTTCTCCTGAAATGTTGCAACCTTCTCTTGCTGAACTAAGGGGAAAAGGGTTTGCCCTCTCCAAGGACAAGGAAGCTGGAGAGGAAACTGATCTTTAGGGCCCTAGAAGCAAAGACGAGGACAGGCGCTGAGCTGGAAGAGAGCAGACCAGGCCCTGGAAAGGTGGGCACCCAAGGTCTAGAGCACCCCAGCAGGCAGCCAGGAGAGACAGAAAGGAGAATGGGCTCAGATCGAGGCCTAGGGAGCTCCAAGGTCAAAGCAGAAGAGCCAGGCCTGTGGCTGAGGCCTAGGGATGCTGGGCACAAATAGGGGGCAGAGAGGGGCAGAGCCGTGGCAGAGGGTGGGGGGCCTGGGCCAGGGCCAGCCCAAGGCAGGGAGGGCACCCAGGCCTTCCAGCTGGGCTTTCCTCCGGCCAGTCCCTTTTGGTTCCAGGGCTTGCACATTGTGTATAATATGCTGAGCCTGTGCATGTCCGTGCTGCTGGGAAAGTCGCTGTGACCCTTGCGTCCAAGTCAGACCCCGAGGCACCCTTACACTGGCTTCCAGCTCCTCCTGTATCCTGCAAAGCCCAGTTTACCCCCTGCAGAAGGCCTCCCTGCTTCTGTCTGCCCTGCTGTCAGGCCCTGTGGTGCCTTCTTACTGGCATGGCTGGAGTGGGAGGATCTCTGCCCCCATGTGGGTCTGGCCTTGTGGGCCACACCCTGGGTGGCAGCGGCTCCCTCAGCCCTGTGGTCTACTTGGCTGGCTCACAGCGGTGCTCAGCTCCCACTTGCTTTCTGATGCTTTCTGCAAAGTACAGAGTTAGGCTGACCAGAGGCCCGCTTGGTACTAAAGCGCCTGTTTAGGCAGGTGCAGGGACCAGGGTGCAGTCCCCGGCGTGTGTGCCAGCCCTGACCCTAGGCTGCGCTGAGCCAGCAAACGATAGTGGGTGTGGTGGCCACACCTGTAATCCCAGTGCTTGGGAGGCTGTAAACAGGAGGATCACTGAGTCTGATCTGTGTAGTGAGACCCTGTAGACCCTGCACTAAATACATTTAAAAAAAACGAGACCCGCTTGGCCCTGGTGGCTCACCGTATGCTTGGAACTCAGGGTGCCACCTTGTGAGCTGCTGAGAGGCCTGGAGAAACCGGGCCCTGATGATGCCCAGGCAGGAACTCCCCCGCCCTCCTCAGGTGCCTCCTTCCAGGCTGCCTCATGGTGGCCTGTTCAGTTGCTCCCTGTACCAGGAGTCCTGTGAGAGCAGGGACGATGTCCCACTTGTTCCTGATCGTGTCCCTGCATCTAACACAATGCCTGACAAGTGGTAGGTGCCCAACCAGTGTAAGCTGAACCAATATAACGGCTTGGACAAGACGACTGTGAGCTGTGTGTGTCCATTCCCCTGGGGATTGCAAGAGCCTGCGGAGGGCCAGGCTCCCGGGGAAGCTCTTTGGCCGGCAGGCAGCAGGACTGTCCTCTGACTCTCGCAGGCTTCCTCTCAGAGGCTTCCTGGCCAGAGGCTACTGTGATGTTCTTAAGGAGCTACAGCCTCAGGGCTGGCCCAGCCCCTCTCTGCCCTGGGGCCACCATGCCGTGAAATCTGGGAAAGGCCAAGCCCACACTGCTGTCTTTGTGGGCCCAGCTGTGTTTTGCTTCGGGAGGCCAAGTCCTGCATGCCTAATGGTGTCAGACGTTTCCTGTGAGCTTGGCCTGCTTTCCCAGGCAGCCGCTGTCTCCTGATAGCAGCTTGGGCAGCTCTAAAGAGTGTCCAGACGCTGAAGTGACAAGCCATAGTGAGCGAGTGGGAAGCAGGCAGGAGGTGTCTGGGGAGTTCAGACCTGGGACTGGGGGGACTGGTGATGGCCAGAGCCTCCTTCAAGAGCGCCTTGAGGGGGTGGGGGTCAAAAGCCATGTCCCAGAGGCAGCAGGGGAGTGGCTGGGAGGGCTTTGGGCAGCAGGCAGGACGCCCCTCAGGTGTAGATGGCTCCCCCAGGCAGCAGGAGCCTGGAGCCCCTCTCAAGCTGCAGGTCCAGACTTCTTTGGGGGCGGGGAGGCCCTACCTCTGCTAGGGAGCAGCAGCCATCGTGAGGGACTGAATACAAGAATCGGGGACATCAGGCTGTGGGAAATTGTGGGGTACACAAGTGTGCACCCCCTGCAGGAATCTCCTGGGAAGTCATCCACCTGCGGCTTCTGATCCAGCAGGTGTGGGCCGAGCATTCTAAGGAGGGAGGGACAGAGGCTGCTGGGCCAAGTGCCACATTTTCAGTACTGGAGGCAAGAGCTGGGGCCTCGGATTCGGAGAACCCTAGGTTTCCACTGTAGATTTACCACCCATCGGTGTGGCTTTAGGCACACATCTCAGTCTCCCAGCCAGTAGTCTACCTGATGTGATCGCAGGAAGGAGGCGGCATGCGTCAGGAGGCGTACGGGCTTTGGTGTTAGGCGGGACGCAAGCCTGGTGCCCTCACAGCCACGGAACTTGAGCGTCTCTACCTCCCTAGAACTCAGCGGGTGTGTGTGTGTGTGTGTGTGTGTGTGTGTGTGGTCGGCTCAGCCTGTCCTGGGGGCGGGGCTGGCACGGCAGGTGGTGCCAGGGATGGAACCATGGTCCCTGCGCTTTGCCTAAGCTTTCCTAACTCAGCGTTTTTTGTTTTTTGTTTTTAAGAACGGGGGATTGAACTCAGACCCTTGCGCTTGACAGGCAAGTGCTTATTCTACTGAGCCATCTCCCCAGCCCCCAGCTCAGCATTTTTGACTTGGCACTTGCAGGGTACTCTGAGGGTTGCACACTTTCCTTTCTTTTTTCAGCACTTCCTCCTTTCTCCTGGTTTGTTTTTATTGTTCTGAATCCCAGCCCTCTCCGCCGCCCCGTCGCAGGTTTTCTGAAATTTCTCGACCAGTACGGCCTTGGAAACACTATGGGAATAGACAGAGTCTGGGGAGCCTGTTTTGCTTCCTGCCTGGACCACTCGCTGCCTCACGACCTTGGGCAGGCTGCTGACAGCGAGGAGCACTAATGTCCCAACCTGAAAATCCGAGCGGCAGTTGCTTCCTCCCTGGGAGGTCATGAGGGTTTACTCAGGCGATGCGAGGGAAAGATTGGTTCATGGGTAAGGTGTACCTTGCTGATGGCAGCTAGCAGTGCCCTGTAGTGGCCTTGTGAGCCCTGCGCGGGCACCGTGCGCACTCCTCAGAGAGGCCCTCCAGTCACTTCTCAGTGTTTTCACCTGAGGGTTGCCTCTAGCTTCCAGACCCTCCACATCATCCTCTCAGGTGTTTCAGAGGGTTGTGCAGTGCACAGCCTGCGCAGCTGTATGTGGTGGCCTGAGGGTTGTGCAGTGC